AAGCCGCCATTTTTCAAGGACGAGTACTTTCATTTTCAATTTTTGGATAGGTTGTTCGTGTATCGTTTCGTACCGATATTTTAAGGCATGTATCGTAAACCGTATCGTAGCAGAAAATATCGATATGTATCGGTGTATCGGTATATCGTCCCACCCCTAGTTGCTACATAGTTCTTTGTATGTCTTGCTAAAAAATATGGTGTTCATAGGTCTGGGACTAAAAGTTTATGAGGGCATACTGTCTAAATATCACCCACCCATTATCGTCTGATCAGCATGATCAGTAGTATTAAGCAGGAAAACAAATATTTGAAGAGACATACTGTAAAAATAATTTTGTAAGATCTTTGAAAACATGTAATTTTGGAAGTAGGTAGACATATAAGTATATAATTTTTTGTTGTTGATAACAGTTGATTAGGGTAGGTGGACACTGGTGTGATTCTGACCCATTATCTGATTATTTTTCATGCTTAAGTTTTGTTCGAGTATATGTCAGTGTTTGTTATGCTACAACGTTTCTGGATAATTTTCTCTATGGAATACTTTTTTACGAGATTTCTTTTCTTAATGATTTATTTATTGAATTTGTGAAATACATGTGTTCGACTTACAAGATATATGTGTAGGGTTATTGCTAGGTAGAACAATCTAACTGTGTCTCAGGACAAGCCCTCATCACAGTTAAAATATGTCCGATATACTTGCAATGTAGCAATTGGAGAGGATCAACTCCGAAATGATTTTGAAGAATACAAGAAAAGTTGCAGCAGGGCTCGAAATAATCGATGGCCCGCTGGTCTGGGGCCAGTAAATTTTTGATTTGGGCTAGTACTTTGTAGAAAGCACATGTCCTTGGGACCAGTGATTATTTTATGCATATCAAAATTATTTCAAAGTCGGGCTAGTTAACTAGACAGGTTTGTGCGTCCAGTTTTGTTAGTTTGTACTATGATATAACGCAATGTAAATTCAGTATCACGATGATTTCTAATAACAAATGTTTTTGAGGAATATATTCTTAAACACTGTAACGTTTTCTAAATGCTGTTTCACCATGGGGGAACAAGATATGATGTATAATTAAAAAAACAAGAAATATGTGCAGTAAACAAGGGCTATGCAGAATCTGAAATTGGCACTACGTGAGGTGATTAGGCCAAACAAAAAAATATGTGTGGTTCCAGTTACACTTCCAAAAAAATTAGGGTAGGTAGGTAGAGATTTTTTTTTTTTTTTTTTTTTTTTTTTGACAAAATGAATTTCTTAATTTTTTCTAAATAATACCTATCACTGCTTTGCAAATGGCATTTAGATGTGGTGTGATAATATACTAAACAATATTGGTAGGGGACACCTACATGCTAGCTTGCTTTGGATTTAACACTATTAAACACTTGGACTATGTTTTGCAAGGAGGCCGTCATTGCTGAAACTAAAACTTAAACTGGAGCCATAGATGGAAATCGGGGGAAATTCCGGAAAAAATATGAAAATTGCTAAAAAAAAAAGTTTAGGGTTGGGGGTATAAAATAGGGAAGGTCGGGTAACCGGAACCACACATATTTTTTTATTTGGCCTTAAGAATCAAAATTCAACCGTGAAGAAATGTGATTTTTTAACTGTTGGTTATTATAATCGGAAATAAATTCACAGACACATTGAAATGTAGTATAATTTTTATCCCCTCGCAACGAAGTTGGAGGAGATATAGAAATGCACTTGTGTGGATAAGTAAGTATGTGTGTAATGAAGATAAGCAAGCAATAGTTTTTATCGGGATTGATGTGCTCTTTTGCGAGGAGATGCTCCACCATGCATTGCCCTTGTTAAGCACTTTTTTGGGCCAGTCTTTTTCAGACCTACTAGCCCAATGGAACAATGAAAGTTATCGATTGACCAGTAAAAATTTAAGATAATAGCCCGAGTGACCAGTGAAAAAAATAATTATTTCGAGCCCTGTGCACTGAAAATAACTATCAAATTAATCATAACAAACATTTTTGAAATTGTATATGCCTTTTAACCTAAAAAATAATTCAGATAAATACGAAAATTCAAGTCATTTTCTCAACCTTTTTTCCTCGCTTCAAATTTACACGCATGTTGACATTCAGAACTCTCTGGATTGTTCATAGAAAATGCAGTCAGTCCGAGTTATCGAATGTGCTTATTTTGCTACATTGCCAATGCACGGAACAAATTCTATCGTTAAACCGGGTCTGTAGGACAATATCATTTTAATGATAGAACGTTTTATTTATAAGGTTATTGCGATCACAGCAATATATAGACAAAATTAAAATTGAAATTATAATTCGCATCATCTCTTTTAAAAAGAAAATAGAAATTCATATTATTTTTTTGTAAAACCAAAAAAATATTGGTTTAAATATATGGACAATAAAAAAAAGACAATAATTTTCAAATTATGAATAACTTTAAAACATTGAGTGCATGCACCTACAAGCACGGATCCCAGGATTTGTAATATAATGCACTGGCATGTAAACTGAAGTAAACCAAACAGATAGATTTCCACTGATTAGCTAATATACATGTAGAACTAGTTTGAAACTAGCAGTTTTTACTGAGTACACATGAACATAATACTTTTCGTAATTCTTTTTTTTTTTCAAAGGGTCATTAATTCCTTCTGGTAAACATAGAAGATGAAATTATAAATGGAATCGATGAAGACAAACTAAGCTATTTATAGGTCAATGACAGAAAGTTGATGAATTGAAAACACAAAGATATGCCTGACTTTGGTTGACCATTGTAGCTTTTGTTAATTCCTGCTTTGTTCTTGCATTAAATAAAAAAAAAACTTAGGTATCCGCAATGTTCTGAATAATCTTTTGATTCAAATTGAAATGTCCTACTCAGTTATAATTGATGATTTAAAAGGATAATGTGATTTAAACAGTACAAGAAAACAGCAGGACAGGGAGATGTCTCAAAATTACAAAATGGTTTAAAATCTCTAATTTTTGTCTGATTGAAGCATCAATAGATTGTGATGCAGAAGGAGTACATTTTATATATTGATACAAAAAATGAAGTTTTATTATTATTATTTTTTTTTTTTTTTGGATACATTTCTCAGAAGCTTACATGTTATATGTGCATGTTTTGGTTTAAAAATTAGACTACCTCTATATTTGCATTTACATGTTTAACATGTTTAAAGTGTTGAAACTCATTACAAATACAAAAGAAAAAAATAATTATTTTCCAAGCAAATACGAGGGCTGTTCGGACATTATTGAGACATTGTGTATATTCTTCTTTCTAATGAACGTTTTTCGGTGAAAATTTGCATATACATTTGACAAACTCTAAGAAGTAATAAAAACAAGAAATATTTTAAAAATATTTTATTTCATCTTTTCAATGGAATATTAATGTGTCAGTGGTAGGGGTACCCGGCGCAGTCACGAAATCGGATATTGAAAATATGTAACACCAACGTTAAAACTCCCAGTGGATACATAGTAAGAGCGAAAATAATTCAAATTATGTATATAATATTTCAATTTAACTTTGACTTCATTTTGTGCAAGTTTGTTAGAATTTCGATCAGAAATACGGAGATCATTAAAATATTTACGCGCGGTAAAGCTATCTGATAACGACGACAAAACGGATTTTGACGTCAAGGCGGAGCAGCGATCATACCTAAAATTTTGTGTAGCGGTATTGAGAACTCTTGTCCAGACTAAACGACCTGCTAAAACAATAACAATGCAATAAAACAAGTCTAAGGGTTTATTGTTTCATTGGTATATATCATTTTCTTACAAATAATTCAACCAGAGTAAAAATAAAAGCCCCGGCCGACCATCAATTATTACGGACTAAATAACGTTGACACGCGTTGCATAACTCGGTACTGCATGATGCTAAGTCAACCTGTATTTGACACTTTTTGTATATTTTACACTGGGGCAGCAACAGCATTGTTTTTTTTTTTTTGTTTTTTTGTTTTTTTTTTTTTTTAAAGAATCGATTAAGAATTATAAGACACAGTTTGATTTTTGAAATGTTATATGTAATGATAGAGGAAGTAGATTGAATGCTTTCTGGTCATTTCACAATGAGAATATATCGGCTGACCTGACGTTAAAATGACGTAGCGATGCTGCTCCAGGTCAATAGACATATGCTTGTTTATAATTTCACCGGAACTTATTCAATTATCCTATAAATTAGAAATTTTGTACATTTGTTTTATTTGTTCTTTAAAAAAAGTTGACGAATTTTTATGAATTTATCTCTGTCCTTTGTGGAGTAAAAGTATTTGTCTCAATAATTTTCGAACAGCCCTCGTAAAATGAAGAAATTAAAAGTTTTTGATTTTATTTTGGTTTAAAAATTTATCAAAGAATTAATTAAGTCGAACTTCATGAAAAAGAAAAGCTGAAATCAAAATATTTGTATCAATTTAAATGTCATGCTTGATAAATTTTGAAAATACTGACAGATACACCCTAGCACAACATATATACATGACTAAAATTGTAAATTTTTAGAGACTTTGGATGTGCATGGTGTCAAACTTCGTCTCGTTTTAATATAAAATGAAAAATTTATAACCGATTAAAATATTGTGATCTGTATATATTGTAGCATAAATATTGTGATACCTACATGTAATATAGTATATTAGATATAGAATAGTAGAAGAAAGTGTATTATCTTAGCCCTTTATATATATTTGCAGTGCAGTATAAAACAGTTCAATTATATAATAATGAAGTCAAGAGAATATGGACATGATTATATGTAAATTAATAGATTTTGTTTTCATTTTTGCAGGTGTGTCTGATGGAATTTGTCATTTCATTAATAAATAATGCTGATAAAGATGCAAACTTAGCAATAAGCCTTAAAAGTGACAACTTTGACAAAGAAATATATATCCATATATAACAGTTACTGTCTGAATGCAGTGAAAGGATGTAGATGAACAGATGAAGAGATTAAGTACAATGTACATCAATTACTTGGATGAAGAGAATCTGCAACATGGGGTAAGGTGTATTTGCTGCTTTATTAGTTATAAACTGTAAATAAATTATTAGCAGAAAATAGACACAAAAGCTTTTATTAAAGCAAATTAGGGATAAATATTAACTTAAAGCATGCGGATACTCAGTGATAGTCTGATAGTATCATAAAAACCAAAAGAACTTCAGTGACTTTGAAATCCTGATAGCCCTAGCTGTTAATGAACTAGTTGCCCAGTACAGCCTTTGGCTGCTTATGGAGTCATGACTTGATTGTTGAAAGGGGGGGGGGGAGAAGAGGAGGAGGAGGAAATGGATTTCCCAGTGGTATGAAGGTTAAAAATAGGGCCAAAAAGAACCAGGTTATGGTGAGGCAGACTTGCCTCCTTACATTTTATTGTAATTATTTAACCCTCCACTCTGTATAAGTGAAATAATTCTCGAATGGGACATAAAACAACACTCAATCAATCGGTTACACTTCACTCACTGTTCACAGCACTTGTTGCTCTGTACTGGCTCAATTAAGCAGGTTAGGTTCAGTTTGGTGTTTACTAGTCATTCCAGTGATAAATAAGAACATTTTTTGTGAGACAACTGCACAGCAGTGCAACCCCTAGGGATCACTTTACCTGGCATCTGTCTGTCTGTCCATCTGTCACACTTTATATCTTGAGAATTGTAAGAGGTTTAATTGTTTTTGATATTTGGTTAATATTTTGCTAGGCATTATGACTTTTTTAAAATAATATGGTTGCCAATCTTGTAACCCTTGAACTTACCTTTGACCTACTTATAAAAAAAAGTTTAAAGTGCCAATATTCAACATATTTTTGATAATTTAAAAGAGGTAAGTCTTTGTTATTTAGCATGTGCACAATTTGTCATAAATTATTATAATGAAAAATACCAGCATTACAGTTGACTTGATCTTGACCTTTGTTTTACTTTTCAAAAAATACTTTGAATGGTTAATTTAACTTAAATGTTTTGATTTTCTAGAAGTAGTGTTTTGATAACTAGCATTGATGAGCTCATGACACTCTACTTTGAAACTTTTTGATATCCAGTTATCACACAAACTAAAACTTAAATCCTATGAAAACAAATTGGGATCAGTATACCACAATGGGTGGTAATGTAGACTGACAATACGTTCTATTTCCACTATGGAAGAGTTATACTTCTTAGTGCGCTCTTTTGTAAAAAAGTCGGAAAATGTACAAATCTTGCGGGATTTCTGGGACAAACTTAACATAAACATGTAAACAATATGTTGAATGTCGATGAACAAATCCTAACAAAATGCAAATGAAATATTTTATTGTTGAGGACTTTATATACATCAAGAGTAGGAATGACAACGATATCAATTTATACAATTTATAGTTTTCGCTCTTTTACATATGTCTTTTAGTTCTTCTATTCTTTAATTGGAATAACAAATACATTTAACATTTAAAATTGGATCGAGATTGGCATGTTTTGTATTATCCACAAAGCCATGCTGTCCCAGTCAGACGACCAAATGTGCCTCTAATTTTGAAGAGTTCACCAATGGAAATCAAACATTGCAGTAAAAACAGCTTGAAATATCTTTAGAAAAAAATGTTGAAAAGATTGTTGACCATTATATGGTGACGTCTCTATTTTAGTGAAAAATTCTTAAACAGGATGTAAAACGACATACAATTAAACAATCAATCCAACTACTGAGTGAGATTTCTAGCTTGTGAACTACCAATTATGTCCAACTAGAAGTAATATTTGAATGTTTTAAAATGTGATTGTACATTGTAGGAAATAATGTTCCTATAGAAAAGTCAAAGAATGTATGCGTATGTGAGATTCTGAAGTAGCAGATGATGAGTAGGAATTTGAAGTGAATTATGGGAAAAGGTATGCAATCCATTAGTTTGCTTTAAAGTTAGTGATTTTAAAGCTGAACACACTGTGTAAAAAGAATTTTCCCGCCATATTCCTTTATTCACGCTATAGTGTAGGGCCCCTACATAAGCCACTCACTTAATCACTGTACAGTGTAATCTGTTGTCACCTGGCTGTGTAGACGTATGCTACATAGCTCTCGGTAGCGACAAAAAATTACGGTGTACTTCTTTCACAGCAGGAGAGAAAGATGCCAATGAAACTTACAACAGTTGCACAGGTCAGTGCAGTATACAAACATACACAAGTACACGTAACTGCAATAAAATAAATAAAGGCGTTGCAAGATAACCAGCATGAGCATGTGTCACCATTCCACTCCGATACCTGTGACAATAAAGCAGTCAGGTGTAACAAATGCGAAGAGTATACCCCCGTGCTGATATAGTAGATAATATATAATCGAATATGGTGTATGCCTATTTATGAGATGTGTTCAGCTTTAATTGATTGTTTTTCTCTGACAATATGTACCATAGGTCATAGTCATTTATGGTATATGCAGTGGCGCCATGTTTATCCGAACACTTCACCTTCCAGATGCTGTTTTTCGGAAATAGATTTTTTCCATGTCATTCTGTCTCATTAATCCAGAAATTCGTGTTCCGCATCCGGACGGTCGATTTCTAAGTACTGCAAAATGTAATAGTTCATTGAAAAATGACTCATTTATCTGGATGGTAATTTTTCAAGAAATGACTTTTTCACACTTATCTTGCAGTAGTGTTAATTGTAGTAAAAACATTGGCCATGCAGTCAGTTTGAAGGCAGTACCTGTGACCTACAAACAATAGTGTCTAATATTAGCGTGTATTTACCCCAATTAATTTACACGTCTATTATGAAGCTCGAAGAATTTAGCTTACACCAGAACACTGTGCATTAATTAAATAAGAAACAGTTCAAAATTAATCAATACATGTATTATTTTTAACAAACTTAAGCCAAAGAGGCGTCCGGTTAAACAAGGCGCCACTGTATATATCTATAATACATGCATATAAATGTACTTGCTATTAACAGTGAGTACAATAAAATTTTCCCATTAAGTATATTCTTTTTATCTATGTGGTCTACTTTATGCCCAATTATCAGCAGTCTCCTTAATGGCCATATTTAAGTATAAGAACTAGGTTGCTATAGCAGACAAAAGGTAAATATAAAAATCTAAGTGCAAGGTACTTTATCACTGATTGAATGTTAATTAGGGCCTGCATGAAATGTTAAAGCTATATAGGATTCACATTGTCCATCTTTGTGTCTTTCAGTCAGCAACACTTCAGTTGTGACACAATAAACAAGTTTTAATTTATGCAGTGTAATGCTATACAGGGTATTGATGCATACAGTAAATGAGATCATTAGAATGGTGTATTTATATACTGTATATACTTGATATCAACAATTTTTCTCAGTGGTCTACTTTATGCCCAATTATAAGTGGTCTCCTCAATGGCCATATTTAAGTATAACATGTATAAGTACAGGTTGCTATAGCAGACAAAAGTAAATATAAATATCTAAGTGCAAGATACATACAAAACTCTAAAGACCATGATACTTTGATACTGATTGAATGCTGATCTGGACCCTTGAAAAACACTTACTCTTAGTCTTATTTATATGACAGTGTGTGGTTTGATATAAGTTAACTGAATTACCTAGGTAACCATGGTAACATATTTCTATCTATTTTTGTATGTTTTTGCATGAGCAAGGGCTTGGGGTCATGCATAAACTTTTCACATTCTTCAACTTCTTCTCAAGAACTACTGGACCAGTTGAAATCAAACTTGTCACAAAGTATCTTTAAAATAAGGATGGCAATGATTAACTGGTTTATTAACTATTGAGAAAGAACATAACCAGTTGAAATTTTCATAACCAGTTTTTTAACCAGTTACAATTTACTTACTTTGTACTAACCACTTAGTAGATAGTTTTTGAGTATTTGTATTTACTTTTTCAATAATATTTTCATTTTTGAAATAAAACTTGTAACATGTTTCAAACTGAAATGTGACAATCAAGCAGTTACCATATCTTGCTGAATATAATATGCATTGGTTTAAATATGCACCCCCTTTTTCAGCCTGATAACTTGGGGAAAATTGCAGCTCGGTTGTAAAGATTATTTGCTACAAAATTTTATTTCCTACAGGGCACAAGTTATTTAAACATTAAGATTTTAACAGACTTGAAATTTCTCTGACAGTAGCTTAAAGATGAGTCACTTGACATATGACAAGCATTTGATATGTTGTAATCAACACACACCCAAAGCTTAAAAAATGAAGAACGAAGGTTATAAATCAACCTCTCAAATATGAAACAGGGCTCTCAATTGTCTATAATTGGGGCCGTTCAGGGGCCCCAATTCAAAAAAGGTACCTTTTTTCCCAATTAATGTGTGATTTTTCCCCATAGTCATTTCTCCCAAAAATTAAAGAAAATATAGCTGGATATATACCGGTAATAACTTAACTTGCTATTCATATTCCTCTGTTTTATAAAACAAATTTAGTTGATAGCGAAGACCGGAAACCCAATATATATGATTTTAAAGTACTTATAATGGTTATTCCAAAATTTCCTAAAAGGTCTTTATTTTCCCAATCTTTATAGCCCGGCCCCATTCCCAAAAAGCAGTGTTAGAGCCCTGTGAAAATGAAAACAATTATATGTACAGCAAATATAAATTGCCCTATCTTGTAAAAAATGTGATTGGAATAGATAGACCATTTCTTTATCCAGGTGAATATCATTACTGCTACATTTTCAAAACGGTAATTATTTACCGCTACATACTCATTACCGCTGCAAAAAAGTACACATTACCACTACATTTAAAAGTTTACATTACGAATACATTGCCTCTTTCATTAGCCAGTTGATTATGCATGTACAGATTGATACAAAGTACATGTACAACATATCCAAGCATAAGACCTTTTTCCACTGCTCACCATGGGAGACGAAAGTAGGGCTTAACAGGGTGGCTTTTTCCCACTTTTTTATTAGTCCCCTACTGGTGAAACCAGAGGGATTATAGGTTTCCTCTGAGTCTGTCCATCTGTCTGTCTGTCTGTCCCTCTTTCAGTCTGTCCCATTTGCTTTCCGCACGTTTTTTTTCTAAACGCTTGCAGATATTGAGCTGAGTTTTGGTATGTAAGCGTATCTTGATGAGTTACAGTTCAAGTTTGCATTTTGTTATGCTTCTTAATCAATGATTTTTAATGGAATTGTAGCAATTCAATTTTTAGTGGGAACCAGATTACACTTGCCAATAGGGGACTAGTATAACTGTATTGCTAATGCAATACTCTCAGAATCCTTGTTTAATCTTAATTATAGTAGGTATTTAAGTATGCAAGTACAATACTGTACATATAAATGCTTGTTTGAAATAAAGTTTTTCTTGTAATTTCAGCCCAATGCAACAGAAACTAAAAATTCAAGAACCTATTGGTAATTAATCTGATGTTTTTTAAATAGATTAATCGAAAGTAAATGCAATATAATTCATACTATATAAAGGTACAGTGTTTAATTGATTTGTTACAAAAAAGAGCAATGACCAATCACAAATGCTAATGTAGTGGTAAATATTTTTAATATTTAATAAGTTCCACATTTTTTTTCACAGTGAAATGGTAAAGAAGAAACTGCTAGCACTACTGTGCAGACTACCATCAATCAACATGATCAACAAAATCAAGTAATCCTTCTGAGTAAGTGCCCTGTAGTATTATCTGTTTTCACCTAGACCAATGTGAAAAGGATGAAAGTTATTATACTCAATACACAAGTTTGGAGATTATAGCTCTCCAACAAGAGAAACACAAAAAGTAGCCATATCAGCATGAAAGTGGCAGAGGTTGTTAATAAAGTATACACAATCATGCATAAATAAATGTCAGCATGATGGCTTAATTAGGGCCTTTTAAAATGTATTTAATATTAAAGAAAGATTATACATGCATATTATGTTAAGCAATGATGATTTTGGTGATCTTTAGTAATACAGGTTTTTGGATGCTTGAGTCTCTGATTGACAATAATCTATGTAGTTTTGGGAGACCAGGTTTTCAAATAATCTGTCAGAATTCCCATGGGTACCAATTGCAACCTGATATTAGGCTAGCAGACCTCTTTTTATATTCATATAAAGCAGAATTTATTCAAAATCTTACACATGCGAAGAAGAAAACACTTGATGTGGTCTTGAACTCGACATTGAGATATATCGATGGTGTATTATCAATTAACAATAGTTACTTCCATTCATATGTCAACTCTATATATATCCCAGTGAGCTTGAAATAAAAGACAGAGTCTGACACATCTGTTTCATGTTTGGATATTATTTATTTCCATCCCTAATTAAAATTTTATAAATTGATTATGTACATGTAATATTAAATGCATGTTTCTTGGAAAGTAATGGTTTAAGTGTTTCCTTACTGCTCTGAAAGATTTTCATGGTATATCAGATTCTTGTTTATTATCCTTTTCTAAGTGTTACTTTTCTCTAAGCAGTGAACAGACAGTTGTATCACTAATGTTAGGTGGAGACACATATCAAGTTACCTACAGTTACAGCCAAGGTTTGATGAAGGTGACAGAATCATCTGGAGTTTGGCAGCGGGAGTGACAGTCGGCAGTGGATACTCACTCCTCTATGGCACCTGATCCCACCTCGGATGTTTTTGAGGTAGAGGTTGCACTGCTCAAATCATAATTTGAATGGACTTTTGAGCTTAAATACATAGGGGTGAAACGATACACCTCCTTCACGGTTCGATATGTATTGTATAATTTTGTCTAGGTACGGTTATTTTTGATACGATACATTTTGATTGAAGGAAACAAATTCAACCTTGTTTTATGCTTTCTTTTACTAAATTTAGTCACTTAATTTACGAATTTTTATTTGCAAATTGACTAGAAGAAATTGATTAGAATTTCTGACTGTCCAAAATTATTTTACAAACTATCAGTCCTCAAAAATTTACGTTTTCTATACTTATTTATACATGTACTGAGTAACATGTTTTACCTTATGTCAAACCCGACTGAATAACGATCCCGACCGAAAAATGAAGCGAACCGAAAATTAAAGATTTTGCACCGTGTATCAAACCGAAAAAAATACCGCGGTGAACCGATTCACTCCTATAAATACTGTTCGTTGTCTCCATATTTCATTTTATAAAATCTAGTTTTAATTAGGATGATTGAAAACAAATGAATCATCAATCCCTTTGAGAGAAGACACTTCCTAGATTGTACAAATTTATTCTAAAAAAAAATAGTGCAATCTTTAAAATTATTATGAGGGGAAAGAGTCAGTGTTTCATTTAGAATCCTGACGTGCAGTGATCAGACGCCTATATATTAGAGATCCATTTTTCTTTCTTCGTATTATTATAAGATTTTTCCATTGTGTTTTTTTCCCTGATATTTTTGGTATTTATTATTTAAATTTTGAGCTGATTAGTGCATCCTAATAAACAGTTATAGACCAGTATATTGAACATGTCCTACTTGCAGGTTTATGAAATATATGGTGATAACAAACAGTATTAAAGCTCAAATGTTCGTTCAAACAGTACAATTCAGAAGCAGAATAAATACGGACCTCTAAAACATCAGAAGTGGGATCAGGTGCCATGGAGGAGTGAACATCCCCTGCTGACAGGTCACACCTGCCGTGTGCTTCCTGTCATGATCCAGGAAAATTAGAAAAATCCGTAGGCAATTCAGTGTGTAAATAATGGCCTGAAAATTAGATTTAAAACGTCAATCAGCACTTGACTTAATGATAGATTGTATTTGCTGACAAGCAACAAGGTCACTGTATCGACCATATAACTTTTGTAATGATGACTTTAAACGAGACTGATGATATTCTTGTTTCATCAACTTGTTTGTCAATAACTTACTTTGTTTTAGAAATTGTTCATACATAGAGCATGCTCTTGTGAATGGAATCAACAGAGAGATATAAACCCTGTATGTGATGAGGGTATATTGCTGCATAAGTAAGGGAAGTTGATGATTGAAAAGTTAGTCATAAAGGTTTGTTGTTAGGTTACCATTAACCTCTTTTTATAGTAAATTATCAAAATATGAAACAGATGTGTGAGACTCCAGGGATAGACATTAACTTTCATATTCACTTGTCCTTTGGGACAACAAATTTTGACTTGTCCAAATGCAAAACTTGGTTGCCCAAACCCTAGAAAGAAGAAAATACGGGTAATTTAATTTATGTGTGATAAAGTACTTTCTATCGGCAAGTTAACTGCCAAGAAGAAACGTTGATGTGTCAGTGATCCTACAATTGTAAATACTGTACATGTATACCACTGTCCTTTCATTTATCCTGAAAACTTGCACTGCCATGCAGCAGTATTTATTTTCTTTAAAAGAAAATTCATATTTTAAATATATATATATATATAAATTATATATATTATTTTGATTTTTTTTCTCTGGAAAACTGAGGCCACACTAAAGGAAAACAGTTGTCTTGTTTTGAAACATACATATCCTGATCAGAATACATTGTTTGCCGAGAATAACTGGTGTTCTGTGAGTGAAAAAACAAACTATTCTTGTTTAAGAAACTATTTTTGATATGTTCTTTGCAGAAAGTGTTATTGTTTTGTTTAAAACTAATGCAAGATATGAAGAAAAAAAAAGCGTTTTTATCTGAAATACATGTATTCACTTGCCCAATCGGACAAGTACATTGGCATTTTCACTTGCCCTAACTGGGAATTTACTTGCCCCGGGCAATCGGACAACGGTTAATGTCGATCCCTGGACTCTGTGGTATCTTAAAATTATCAAGCTCATTGGGATAAATTGTGTTGAAATATGAATGGAAATAATTAATACCGTAAAGTCACATGTATCGAACGCACTTTTTTTTCAGAAAAATTGTTCAAAAGGTGGGGTGCGTGCATTACATAGGAACTAAATTCAACCTCTTTTTTTCTGGACATTTTTTCTTAACTCTTATGAGTGATTTTCACTGTTATCACATTGTAAGTTTATTACTGTAACATATTCCCCAATTCTTGAATGATAGTCACGTATGACAGATCGCTGGTAAATAAATCAACAAACAGAAATATAAAAAGATATATCCATTAAAATGAATTATTCAAAATTAAATATAATATATGTATATTTAAAATAAATTATCTTTTTCTAACGTGGATATCATCACTGCCAAATTTAACTCCTCTCGACCCTAATGTAGGTCATATTTGTTTATATAACAATTTCCGGCCATTTGGTTTAGAAACAACTGCCATTTTAAACAATACACTTGTAATCAGTAAAGTTTATTTAATGATAAATATTTTACACACCTTTTTAAATACCTGGTATCACTTGTATACATAAGTGTGACATTAATTGGGCTTGGGATGATTTGTTTACGTAAACACAGACACCTGCTTGGAATGCATTTTCAGCACAATATCGTAACATACTTGGAGTTATAGGGGGAAAAAAATTAGGGACTTAATTTTTAATTTATACCAATCAAATAACATTTAAAATACAGACTATACTTAAATACATGTAAATAAAGCTTATATGTAAAATGAATTTTCCAAGAAAATTGAAAGTTGTATCCTACTTTCGTTTTTGAAATAATATGAATATTTTAACTTTTTAAACTTTTTCTTAGGAATAGTTGTGCTGTGAAAATAAGAGATACATCCGCATTTTTGGGGTAGCGTTTTATCCATAGGAACTGCATTTTTCTCAGGATTTTCTCCCAAAATTTGGGGGTGTGTCTATTACAAGACTATGGCCGTTACACGTGACAATATGGTACTTCGTCAATATATATATCTAAATGTTAAAGGCGACAGCATGTATGTTCTTCTTCTCATGTATAAGATTTTAAATAAATTCTGCTTTGTATGAATACAAAAATAGGTTTGATAATAACGGAGCACAATTGGTACCTATGGAAATTCCAAGAGATTTTTGGAAGACCTTGTCTCTAAAAACCACATAGATATTGTCAATCAGAAACTCAGGAATCTTTTTAATATCAACTTCAGAGTACTTGTGTGTACAATCAGTGTTTTTACAGAATAATTTTGCAAATGACCAATGACAAGATAAGTTAATTTTTCAGTTCCACTTTTGATGAAAAAGCAGCTGTCAATAAACAAATCTCTCATCCATACAAAAGAGCATACCAAGGGTGATAATCTCAAAACTTAAGCATTGATCTGTTCGAAATATTTTTTTTTTTATTGACATACGTTTAAGGATAAACAACAATACTTGATATCGCGATTACTTAAATTAGCGGAACTCTTTCACGGAGGTAGGAAACGTCTGTTGGATGGGGGCAGTGTGCTATTGAATGCAATGCATGATCGATCATTGTGGAATTTATAAGGACTGATAAGAAAGAAATCCTGGAGAAATATCTTGCTAAACATGCGCTGAACCAGCCTAATAAATTTTTGAGAGGAGCTAGTCCTATATGTTACATTTTTTACGATACTTTTTACTAAGTGGACTCTTATTAAATTCTAAATGAAAATCGTTACTTTTGAAAGTTGATAAAATACTCCAAACTTTCCTTATTTGACAATCTACTATTTGGAGTTCAACTCTTGGAAATACATTGTAGTTTCGGCATAATGATTGTTCGAATCATTCAATTGTCACCACTGTAAACAATGTTATACCCTAGAAATCTTGTGAAAGAGCAAGAGCCACGAACCATCAAAAATGGCCCTGTCTCAAAAAGTAACGGGGTTTTGTCAGTTGATAGTGTAGACTTTTAGCTTTTCTTTGTCGTTTTTCTTTTTTGAATATCGATTATATTTTTTTGAAAAAGAGAGTTTGAAGTATGACGGTGTTTTAAAAGAAAATGCTAGTAGAACGTCATTTTTTGAAACGTAACGTCGTAGGGCGGAAAAATTACTTTGAGCGATTTTACATATGTGATTTTGAATTAAAATTAGTATCAATTGGAATGGACATTTGTCTTACTAATAAACTTCATAATTAATTTAAGACAATTAAGAGCAGTTGGAAATTGATTTCACATCGCAGTCTTGATGGCAACTGCGTTACACTCTACCTGGTCCCTGTTCTATTATAATTTTTAAGAAGGAACATTGTATTTCTATCCCTTGAACATATTTTTGTGCGATGCATCGCTCCTAGTTACATGCAAGTATTGAGTATTAAACATCATTAAAAAAAAAACATATGACTTGCTTCAAATGACGATAGCCCGTCCAACTTAGTTTTCCGGACTTTTTCCAATATGCCTGCAAATATTAAGCTTATATCTTTGGAATGCGCGTCCATGCACGAAGTTTGTTTTTCAAAGTGGGGAAGGGGGCAGTCAGAAATAATAATAAGATACTTGAAATGATCTTAAAACGAATGTTTCTAAACTGAAGAGCCACAATGTAATTCAATAACTGGATCTATAGATGTAATTGCAAAAAAAAAAAAAATGTTGAAATGGAAATAGACTTTTAATCCGAAATTCTTAGATCCTGAACTTGCGAGCATTTTAACATATAAAAGATCTAAATGATTTGGAAAAACGGAGGAAGTAAAAAGTTGGAAGGACTTGTTTCTAATCCATTTACAGTAAAACTCAGTTAGAGCGAAGTTCTGGAGAACTGCGAAATTACTTCGCTATATCCATAATTCGTTATATCCGTATAACAAATTCCTTAAAGTATACATAGAGATTTCGAAATATGTTTTTTTTTTCCCTTCAAGTATGGCTAACAAATGTACACGTATTTACAGAAGTATAAAATACAACATTTACTTTGGAGTTCAAAAGTTTTCGGATGAATTGAGTTTCAAATATGATTACTTACAAAATTAATATATCAGTTCAATATTTTAAAAATTGAGATCTTTGAAAATTCGCTCTAAAAGACGTACATTGCGTTATTTTTAACTTCTAGGGGACACAAAATTAGTTCGGTATAACCGTAAAATTGCTATATCTGAATTCGATATAGCCGTAAAATTTTACACGGAATTGTTAGGGATTTTGCAAGGGATTGCAAAAAACTTTGCGATAGCTGTACATTCGGTATATCCGTGTTCATACTAAATGAGTTTTACTGTATTCATTTATGACAATAATTTGAATGTCGTTTTCGAGACAGAAACATAAAACATTATAGATTAATTGAAAAGGGGTGTCCCAACTTATCAAAATGCTTTATTTAGTAAACGGAACTCATTAAAACACTGTCGCCCTAAATGTGAGTTTCTTTGGATTAATATGGAATACATTTCAAAAAAAATATTCTTAGGAAAGATAAATCTGTTGAGAAATCACTAATTTAAGGCTAAAGCAGAAAATAAATCAGCCCTGTTCATTATTATATATTTATCGGTATTTGCTAGAACCCCCACCCCACCCCAACCACACCCCGCACACACACACGCTCTTCTCTTGCAAAATATTCGAATATTTCTCTCCCAAATATCTTTACTGCAAGGAATTCGTAAAGATAGAAATCTGCGAAAATTCATATATGATTATTTTCCATGTAAATGTAAAAAATGATTAAACATGAGCAAATACATTTTTAGCATACGTAACTATAAAGTGTAAAATTCCCACTTTCGATATCATTGCACATATATAATGTTTTTTGTGGTTTATGAAAAGAGTAGAGCTGCGTTTATATTGCTGATATGTGGGTCACATTCATAAGTAAAACACATGTATAGGTGTTCATTTATCCTTGTCTTATTGTCCTACAATCAGCGCAAGATTGATTATATTCAACAAAAACTTGCTTAAAAAGGTCTTACCCGCAGAAGCAATAAGAGCTGTCCTTACATTTTCTTTTCAGTTTCCTTTGTGAAATATTTTTTTTCGTACACAGTGGTGGTGCCGCACCAGGCACCCCCCCCCCCCCTTTTCACTGAGGAAAAAATGAGAGGAGTAGGAAAGTCTAAACCAATTTTCAATTTCTAGATTGATTTCTATTAATAAACAATAAAGAAAGTTAAATTCAAGACAACTTATAGGATTAAACTTTGAATAATTACATTAATTAAAGTTTTGCTGTCATTAGTTTATGACACCCCCCCCCCCTTTTTTTTTTTCAACCTCAACTGGAAGTCTTGAATATACCTCTGATAAGTCCTTTCTACATATCATAATACTAATAATTAATTAATACTGAGGAAAGAGGTAAAAGCGTACAATACCAGAATAAGCTGACAATAGATTTAAAAAAATATTATTATTATATGTATTATCAAAAAAAAAAATTATATCGTTGGGTTTAAAATAACCAGCTATAAACAACTTACGCTCATACGTTTCAAAGAACATATTCCTGGTTTATTGTTTTGATTTTTAAACACATTTTAAGGACTCTCTCTTTCTCTCTCTCTGAGTTTTCATGGGGCTGAATTCTTAGATAAAACAAACCCTATACTTACAGTCGCAATAAAGAAATGGTGGCAGATAAAAAAAAAAACTTTAGAGTAATTGATATGTAACGTACTCTATTTTATTTATTTATTTTTATTCTTTATTTTTTCTAAATATATTTAAAACCACTACCCTTTCCACTAATTGACGATCTGAAGCATAAATTACTTAAATTGTGATAGTAACTATGAAATATTTGGAGCACAGTAAAAGATGCATAAACGTTTTATACTGGATTTCTAAGACATACTGTGATATTTTTTTTTGCATTTTTGCTTACTTGGGTGTAGTTGAATTATGTTTCACAAATGATAAGAAAATCAGTATATATGTGTTATACACATGCATCATCAATATCCTCACTTCGAATTTATTGAATGCAGACATATTGCAAAATACATGTATATATGCTTAATATATGCTTTTGAAGTTGGATGGAAATTAACCCTTTTGTGTACATGCATAAGAATCATCTCAGAGGATTTTTTTAAAAACAGTTATTACATCGATGGCTTATATATGCTGGTACAAAATAATATATAGTTATAGTATACATGTACGTGTATGTGTGTACCGATATTGGGTTTCGTCAAAACAATTGCACTTGATGAACCCGCGCCCGTGACCTAGATTCTGTTTAGCCGAAATGTAGATGATTATCCAAATGCGTTTTTTATTTCTTTTCTTTTAATTTTCACTTTGCACAGCAAGTTATGTTTTTATTATTTCGTTTATTTTACAAAGGTCTAGCGTGATATCTTTGCTACATTCTCTATATTAATTTGTTTACAATTTGAGTCATGTCTGTTAACACGCACAATAGTATTAAAATTGTCTCAAGAATATAAAAAAAAAAGAAAGAAAAAGAAACATATAAATAAAAGATGTATAAAATTGAAGGTCTAATAACAGTTTTAACAAAGCAGGCATTGGGGGGGGGGGGGGGTATTGTGTTAAGGACAGTAAAGAAAACAATTTGGCGTGAATTTCTGTTAATTAATAATTTGATGGTATCATCCAGTTGAGCTTAAATCATACAAATAAAGACAGCATTCGAGATCATACAAAACTTTTCAGCAACATTCCAAATAGTTTAGAGCCTTTATGACGTCACAACTGACGTATTATTAGTAACGTCATATACAATGGACCTATTCACAATAAAAACCATGGTTTTGCTAGTTCTATATTTATTTCAGAAAATGTTTATTCTTAAGGTGTTTTTCCACAATAAGCGTTTTAAACGAACAATAAATTGCTTTTCTCGCATATTTTGTGAAATGCATAGTTTTTTATTGGTGTATGAATTAAATGTTAACGATTGATTCACAAATTAGTGATTATTTGATGCATCAAAATTTAAATATAAAATCAAATTTCATATTGGCCACACCCACGAACAACAACGATAATAAGCATAAAGATTTGCATCGGCAATATCTATATCTATGGTAAGTATGAAAGTTGTTCTTGACTGTGGCCACATCTAACTTTGGGAAAATCTGTCAAAAAATCGGCATTTCTTAACGTTTTTATCACATCGTCTCATGTTCCAACCGTCGCACGTGCCTAATGGCGCATTATTTGACAAAATACGTTACGTATGGAAAACAAGTATGTTGTCCTCTAACATTTAATGTATAGTACTCTTTTTGATTCGAAACTTTATTTTTGTGAAAAACACAGGGCCAAATATGATGGTTCGTGGCTTTAGCTCTTTAGAGCTTCCTCGACTCCCATGCAAAAGAGCCGTTGTAAGTTAGATAACTGTGAGATACTCGCAATACTACGTATTGCAAATACTGGTACTTTTAATTCAATTCACATGTGCTCACCTTTAAAATGCATTCACAATTCTTTATTAAGTTGGTGACATTATGTATGAAAATATCATAAAGTCTAGTTACATGTTTAAACTATGCTTGTAGTATGCATTTTTTTTTCTTGAACAGTAAAGGAAGGGATGAGAGAATTCATTGAGTGCCATATACTTTCATTTGTATGTCATTTTTCAGAGATGGAGTAGTACACAAGCACAATTTTTTAGAAAGAAAAGTCAATGGAATTTTGATATAGAATTTAAATTTAAAAAAAAAACAAATTATCAATTACTGCAGTTTTGAATTTCAGTACACTAGAAATTTTTCTGCCCTGCCATGAATATGGCTGGGGCATATAGAGTTTGTCATGTCTGCCTTCCGTCTTTCCAACCTTCTGTCTGTCCTTCCATTCCGCTTTGCTTTTAGCTCAGTTCAAAACTAAGTTTCAAAGAAACTATTCAAGATATTTTTATCAGTCTTCATATGCTGATACATATTGATGAGAGGTATTCAATTTCATCAACATTTTTTCCCTTGACCTTGACCCTACTTATCTTAAATAAGTGTTTAGCTCAGTTTTAAAGAAACCATTCAGGATAGCGTAATCAAACATCGTTTGCCGATACATACTGATGAGACCTATTTAACTGCATCAACATTTTTTGACCTTGATCTATCCTTTGACCTTAACCTTTTTTTTTTAAATGGTGATTAGCTCAGTGTTAAATAAACAGTTTCCATTCAAAATATTTTTATCAAACTTAATTTGCTGATGTGTATTAGTGAGAACTATTCAATTGCATCAAAAATGTGTGACCTTGAACTTTCCTGTGACCTGGACCTCACTTTTCTTAAATTTGCATTTTGCTTAGTTTTAAAGAAACCATTAAAGATAATTTTATGTGAGCTTATGCACTTAACAGAATTTGGTGAGAATTTATCATCTATATCCAACTTTTTCGATTTCAATGTTAAAGAAACTATTTTAAGATATTCTCATCAAATTTCATACACTAAAAAAATTTTTATGTTGCATAACTAATATGCCCACATGGTGCAGTGGTTAAAGCTCTAGAGTCGCGGAGTAAGGAGTTGATCCTTATGTCGCTGGTTCGAATCCCACTATGGGACGTGGAGACCGTATAAACCGAGGTCCCATGTCACAGTAGGTGCTGGCACGAAAAAGATCCCTCACTGCTTAATGGCCCTTAGTGCCGAGTATAGGTCAAAATTTGCAGCTCTCCACCGGCAAGTGGTGGAGTCTCCATACGAGTGAAAAATTCTCGAGAGGGACGTTAAACAATAAACAAGCAAATAAAAATTAATATACCCTCAGCGGGGCATTCATGTCCTATGGACATATTTCTAGTTTTACATTTGTACATTGATATACTTTTAATTTTTGCTCTGTAAACAACAAACAAAAACATTATACCATATAAAATGCACAAAATTATATGCTAGGAATGTATTGTGAAAGATGCATTTCAGCTGACAAATGTGGCATCTTTAAGCCAGCTTTTTAAAAAAAAATTTTGAATGACTTTCAGGTTCTTCTTTTATATTTGAAACTCATTTATAGGGATGTATTAGTATGGTAGCCTGTCTGCCAACACCTTATAGATGAGATTCTAGCACAAATTGTGTGAAATGGTTCTCTTAATTGACATGAGAACTTCACCATTTTTTATCAAGATAAAAATTACTTGTATGTCTTGTAATAACATTATTTAATGTAGCCCTTTCATAGCACACATGTTCCTTTCAAAGAGAGGAAAACATTTATAATTTTTCAAGGTCAATAATCTCATGGATGAAATGCAAACTGTACTATTTGAAATAGGTGGTATAGGTATTTCAGAGTCTGTATTACAGCTTGCCGGTTTATTGTTGGAGGGAATATTCTCATCAAATAAACTATGTAAAGATTTGCTTTTTAATGCAAAGTATTTTTATAAGTAATAACTTCATTTCAACTTACAATGAACAGCTAATCAATGCATCTCACTTTGTATCTAATGCATTTTTAGAACACACATTTGTGCTTTAAAACATGTTGTAATAGTTTAATAATGCTATTCATTTTTTTTTTAATTGACAAGAAATGAAAATGTAATGATTATTTCAAAATAGTGTTTTATTCCTCTCATGTATATTTATAGATACAGTCCCTGAAACGTTCTACTTTCCCACTTGAACGGTGAGCGAACGCTGAACGAACGCAGAGCGAACGGTGAGTGAACGATGTGTGAACGCTGAACGCAACTTGGTGAACGATAGGTGAACGCTGAACGGTGAGCGAACGCAGAACGCGAACGGAGCGCGAACGCGAGCCCAATTTATTCGGAATGCCTCTGATGTTTTCCATGCAATGTATCGAATTTATTGTATTCAATGCGGAAAATCAAAAAAGAAATAAATACATGTAAATATTCAAAAATTGTCCTAAGAAAGATGAAACATGCACATTTAGTAAAACTATTAATTAAGTTTCTTACAATATTTTCTGCATATATGTATGATGTTTAAATTCAGCTGCTTAATCACACGATTTTTATCGCTGGAAAACATTGTCGTTGTTACCGAACGCTGTAGTTTAATTATTCTAGTTGTAAATTAAATATGTTTATTCTTATTTGATATATAAAACCATTACAAATAATGATTTTCGAAGAGTACATTACTGACTTATAGAATGAATTACAACGGTTGTAACAACCATACATGTATGTCAAGGCAATTTCGTGTAAAATAATGAGGAAAAATTTTAAAAATATTTTGCTATTCTGTGGACGTATTGCATGTATACACGCGTATTTAAAAAAGAATTAATGCAATAATATATTTATGTGTCTTTTCATATTTTTTTTAATGATGATTTATTTAGCAGACTTCTACATGTATCTGTAGACAATTCCCCGTGATTATACTCGGACAAGGCGATACAAAGAAGCATTCATATTATTTGTTATAGATTAAAATTTCAGAACTTAGTATTTAATACGTGTCATAGTTTTGATTAAACGGACAAATGAGAGAGAGAGAGAGAGTGAGATTCCGTTTTAACCCCCCTTTCCACAAATGCATGTGCATGTACATATGTACTTGTATAAACAAAAATTCTTAATTTTTATCTAAATATATCAGGCAGTGGAAGTAGCTTTTTTTATTTATCAACAAATTCACTTTGTTTGACAGTCATAATCGGTTTTTATTTTCCTACACGAAGTTTACGTGCTTGTCCTGTCAATCAAAATCATTCGACACTGTGCAGGTGTGAAAGTCTCGTCACACCAAAGGCGAAGTGCTACACTGTAGTGTTTCAAAGAAGTTTAAACATGTTTTATCATTTCTAGATCTGATTCCAATTTTTCCAATAAATAAAATACATTGGGCATAAACACTTTGAATGAATTTGAAACATACTTCCCGGCCAATTTAAAATACCACCGTCGGCGCGTGTATATTTTGAACTACTATTGTTTAATGACTTTTTTAGATGCATGTTTGTTTTGAGACTGAAATTTTTGTGCTACAAAACGCGTTAACTTGTTTTTAAATATTAATATAAAAATATACTGGAAATACTGACTAAGTAACCGATCTACGTGGAAAAAGGGGGGGGGGGGGAGGTCTTAATCATATTGAATGGCAAACATATAAAGATATTGTGAAGAAAGGAATTTTCTCTCTCTAACAATAGAATTTATATATGAATTGTTGTATATCACGTTTAAATAAATATTTTTTAACCACACTATCAATTTAATTCGATCCAAGGATATTTAATTAACTGGATATCCGCAGTACTATTTATAATTCTCAGAACTAGTTCTAATAATGTATTTCTATAATAATTGGGAAAAAAAACGTGTTAGTAATAAATACTTTCGTAATGTTGCTGCAGTTGGTAAATTAATTGACATGGATTATTATCTCTCCATTAACGACTTGTCGTCTTTCACATAACAACAAAATGTTGCAGTGCTTGAAGTACGCGTATATTACCCGTATTTAATTTTAATTTTTCAACATCGTTCTACATAGGTACAGACTTATAACAACATTTATTTTCCAGAGTAATTTAATTAATAACCTATCAACTAAGTTAGAATAATAATAAAACATATTGTAGATAATTTATTCCCATAAAATAATGATCCTTTAAACACGATACGTTAATTATTAAATTTTAAATCCCGTAAATCCTTACTTACAAAAAAGATAAGTCCTTTCACTTTGGAGTTCCGAATGACAGTGAAGACTGAACGATAAGTGAACGCTGAACGCAAGGTGAACGCAAAGTGAACGAACGGAGAGCGAACGGTGAACGCTTTGTGAACGCTGAACGCGAGCGCACGGTGAACGCAGAACGCAAAACTGTAAACGGAGAGCGAACGGTGAACGCACGGTGAACGAACGGTGAACGCACGCTGAACGAACGGTGAACGAACGGTGAGCGAACGGAAAAATGGGAAAGTAGAACGTTTCAGGGACTGTATGTAAAAGATTGTTATTTTTATTGATGTTATGTTTGTGTACAAAATACTAGTTATTTATTACTTTATACAAAACTAATGTTGTGAAGATTGATAATAATAGAAGTCCTTATGCATATATTGAACAGTATACAAATGTCACCAATGTAATACACATTTACAAATAAAATGAAATTTTACATGACTTGCACATATTTGCAATATTTGTTACAGTTATAACAAATCTAATTCAATGTATTTATGGTTTCCAATTTTTATTGTCTATTCAAACATGGAAAAATTATATGTGTAATGATGTTAAAGACACAAGAATATGAATTAAAATAAGACTGTATGAACTACCTTTAGATTTATGAATTCAGTAGACAGTGATTGTGACAAATGTGTACTTAGACATGAGAAGAAAAGGGGTTGTTTTACAAACTTTTTTTGCGTGGGGAAATATTGACATTTTTATACAACAACAAATGAAGTTACTGGAATTGTGAAGTCTACATGTCTTCTGTGAGTAGACATATTTTGAAACAAAGGTAGCTTGTGGCCAGAAATATTCTAGACCCAGTAGTAATGGTCTTTTGCACAAGATCATAGTCACTGTTTATCAAAGTATTAAATACTTGCCAATAATTGTTTGTAACCTCAGAGTATGGTCCTAACACAGGTTAATACAGGTCAAGGCCATAGGGTTTAGAAATGTAATAAATATTCAGATAAACACATAATCCTGTTTGTTTATTTGTTTGTTAT